CGCCCGCGCCAGCCTGGAGCTTTGCCTGTTCGCCTTCTCCAGTCCGCAGCTGGGCCGCGCTGTGCAGTTGCTGCACCAGCGCGGGGTGCGAGTGCGGGTCGTCACCGACTGCGACTACATGGCCCTCAATGGCTCGCAAATCGGCCTGCTGCGCAAGGCAGGTAGGCCCGGCGGGGTCCAGGTGGAGAAGGCCGGCCTGAGCCACGCGGGGTCCTAGGCAAAGGTGGACACTTAGGGGAGGGGGTTTGGGAACGGGCTAAGGCCTCATTTACTTTCCTCGTGGCGTTGTGGAGTAGGGGTGGTGTAACGCGGAGAAAGCAGAGCCCCCACGAAAGGTCTAGCAGGCTGCGCGGGCATAAGCGAGCCGGGCCCTCGGTGCCTCCGCGGTGGGGGCAGTTTTCTAAGTGACCTGTCCTGGCATGCTGGAAGCGGGTGGGCCTGCGTGTGCCGGGTTAGAGGCAGAGCAGGCTCCCCTAGCAACTCCCCGGGCGCCGCCAGTGAAAAACTTTTTCGGGACTGCTGCAGCCCGGGCCCGCCCTCCTGCAGGCTGCCGGAGACCCCCGGACGGCCTGTGGTGACCTGGACCCTGCTGGCCGGGGACCTGGACGCCAGGGTTGTGCTTGGACTTCCAGACTGAAGGGCTCTGGGGAGAGGCGGCCACCTGCTGCCGAGTGAACCTCAGCCCACCGGGCTCTGGGAGACCTAAACATATGTTCCAGAAAGCAGCGCCAGGACGTTCGTTTTCCCAGCTGCAAAAGGAGTGGAACACATATCCCTCTGGCGGGGGCACCTCTCTCATGGGGTGGGGACAGAAGGGACCAGGAAGTGTGAATATTTGGGATCCTTGTCCCGCCTGAGGATTCTCAGTCCATCCTGGCCCAGTTCCGCGGCCCAGCCGGCTCTTGCCTTTTGTGCACCCACAGACTCTTGGGCCTCTGTCTCCATCACTCAGGCACCCAGAGATTCACGCCTGCATGTGCTCCCACTGGAGCTCATCATTCTGGTGGTCGCAGTGACTGAGAGACACGTGGAGCCTGGCAACTGTCCAAGCTGGGCAGTGGTCACTGCCGCCCGTTCCTTCTGCACAGCCATGGCCTCTCGTTGACTTGGGCCGCAGAGCAGCCTCTCCAGAGTCAGCCAGGGTCCCTCCCTGCCCTGGGTGGTGTGGGGCATGTTGCACCCCAGGTGGAAGCAGAGTGGGGCACGTGGTTTTCGTATTGAGGATGTCTCCTCCTCTTTGGGGCAGCCTCAAGAGCTGTCGTCCAATGCGTTGGTGATTTTTTTTTTTTTTTTTTTTTTGAGACAGAGTCTCGCTTAGTCTCCCAGGTTGGAGTGCAGTGGCGCGATCTCGGCTCACTGCAAGCTCCGCCTCCCGGGTTCACGCCATTCTCCTGCCTCAGCCTCCCGA